ACTGCCCATGTCGCGTTTCGCGGTCCCGCTGCCAAATGGTTTGACCGTCTTACCTACTAAATAGCATTCGCCAACTGAAATTACTCAGCCAACGTGCGATGGCCTCCAGCATGTACCAAGTGACTTGAGACGGCCCGCTGCACGGCATTCTACCCGAGGTCCTTATATGCCTGCACGAGCGAGTAAAGCATGTCCAAAAGTGAGTAGACGTCCGAACGGTCGTTACGGCTCACACGGCGATCGTTCTCACAAGTCTCATTCTATCTCGCTCTGAACACTACATGGCGGTCGTTCCTTTTCGTCTCGTATACAGGATTAGCTTCTGTGTGAACGTAGTACCCAGACTCGTGATGACTCAACTACTCATGAGCGCATTGACCACAGTACTAAAGGAGAGTGGTTCCGTTGTGATTCTGCCTTTGGATGCGGGCGCTTCCGCTTCGGGAAATGTCTGGCGGGCCGATATTTGCGAGTGCTTTGCACACGGGCCATCAGGAACTTGCGCAATCTGTCTGATGGCCATCTCAGAGGCTTCAGAAGCCTTCAGATTGCTTCAGATTGCCTCAGATTGCTTCAGATCTTCAGCCCTCATGACCTGCGATTTTCGCAAGATATTCTCATCAGATGAAATCCTCAGAGCCCTCAGACCTCGTCAGACAGTGCGTCAGATGCACAGCCCACCAGAGACCAATGCAATAAATCCAAATCTATTTTGGTCGTGATACTGGTGTACAGACTACATATACATGTATTACATGCTACATGAACCCGAAGGCGTACATGCAAGTGTTCGGGCGTTCGGGCGTACTCTGCAGACGGGGGAATGGGCAGGTCAGGAACCCACTGGCAGTGAGCAACTACGTATTCTGGCATACTCGCGAGTTTGACGACGGGTAAGTGAAAATGATGGTGCAAGTAGGCGTACAGCGATCGAGTTAGTGAGTGAGTACCTGGGTGAGCAGACGACGGATGAGCTCGCGAGCAGATGGGCAGGCTAGCGACGGGTGAGCAACCGGACGGACGAGCGAGTGAGCGGACGGGCGAGTGAACGGAACAGGCGAGTGAGCGGACGGACAGGCGAGTGAGCGGACGGGCAGGCGAGTGAGCTGACGTGCCACTGAGCAGATGTGCGAGCGAGTGGAAGGGCGAGCGAGCGAGTGGATGCGAGTGGACGGGCAGATGAATGGATGTTAGACGAGCAAGCTGACGGACGAATGAGTCGATAAGGCAAGCAAGTGGATGGGCAAACAGGCGCGTGGGCGGACAAGCGGGCGGGCGAGTGGGCGGACAAGCGGGCGAGTGGGCGGACAAGCGGGCGGGCGAGTGGGCGGACAAGCGGGCGGACGGACGAGTGGGCGGACAAGCGGGCGGACGGACGAGTGGGCGGGCGGGCTCGTGAATGGGCTGGCAGGTGGCCAGGTGAGTGATAGCAAGTGAATGCCCAAGAGCCCGAGCATACGAGCGAGCAGGGTGGATGCAGATGGCTACTATTGCCTGGTAAGTACGTACTGGGGTGCCCGGCAGGCTCTTGCTCGTCGCAGTCCTACTTGCTGAGCTGGGTCGTGCTGGGCTTGGACACGTCGTATCGGTGTGCAGGGAGTCGGCCTTCGTCGAACCGGTACGCGTTTGCGCGTGCTCTTGCTGGCGGGTCCGTGCGTGGCATTAGGCTCGTCAGGCACATTGGTTGGTGTCCTTGCGCACGCGCGCGTCGAGATCGTCCTCCCTGCGCGCGCAAATGGGGCCGTCTCCGTCGCATTCGTCTCCGTCCGGTCGTCCTGGTGGGCACTCACTTGCTAGGGTTCAACAACGGGGTACACTCACCTCATTGTCTGGCCCTGTTGGCCGCAATCACCTTTCCTCCCTGCGTGTTGAACCTTCGCGAGCCTCCAGCGATGCTTTTGGCGCGTCACTGGAACTCGTTGCGGTCGCGTACAGCGCGGTCTTCGGCCATGCAGTGGTCCGGTTGACACGTTGTGTCTCTTGCGGACGGGCCCGCCTTCATGTACTGGAGGTCGGTTGGAGGTCGGCGGCGGGCTAGCGAGGGCGAAGCAGACAGGGAGGAGGTGACGGACAGTGAGGACTCTGAGGCTCGAAGGAGGTCCGGCGAGCGCGCGTGACGTGTCGTGGCTGAGGCGCTTAGCACTTCTCGCCTCCACACGCACGTCCTCCCTCCTCCTCGACGCCGACCAAACGTTGACTGGCCTTCATCACTACACGGTGGCGTCAAAACACACGCGAAACGCGACGGAGGCGCGAGGATAACACGGAGCGGAGGGAGGTGCGCCACGGAAGGGATGATATGTGAGTGTGTATGCTCATTTGCCTGCCTACTCGCCAGCCCACCGCCGCCCTCTTGCTACCCCGCCTGTCTGCCTACTCACTCACGCAGTCTTCCACCCACTCGCACGCACGTTTCGTCCGCCTACTCACTTTGTCGTTAGCAAGTTCGCTTGCCTGGGCCCCTCTCATCCTCTCGCTATCTCGCCCTCGTGCTCTTACTGGTTCGTCCGCTCGCCCGTTCTTGCCTGTTCCCCGCGCTCTCTCGCCCACCCACTCGCCCACCAGCCCGCTGTCTCGCTCAGCCGCCGCTCCGCTTGCCCATACTCTATCTTACTCGTCATCCCGCACTCGGACTCGCCCGGTATCCATCTCTCCCGCCGTACCGCTCGCCCACGGCCTCTTTCGCCCAGTCTCTGTCGACCCTCACGTCCGTCTACCATCTTGGTCGTCGACCCTCTCTTCTGTCGACCCTCTCGTCCGTCGACCCCCTTGTCCGTCGACCCTCTCGCCCGAGGGGAGCCGGGGACCCGCCGCCCGGAGTTGATCCCCAGTGAGTTGCGATTGGACGCCCCTTGACCTTGACACCGTGAAGATAGTCATGACAATCTTCGTGAGTAAAGCCTCGGTTTCCCTGTACTGGAACTAACCTTACCACTAGGATGTCGACCGCAGTGGAACCATCGGCTACGACGAGGTACGCACTGCACTTTATCTTCGGAAGACTGTCGCTAATGGATACCTCCATAGTTCGTCGGCCTATGGAAACACGTCAAAGACTGGCGGAAGGTCTACCGCCACTTCAACCGCGACCGCTCCGGCATGATCGCGTGTGCGAGCTGCGCAACGCCCTGACACAGTTCGGCTACAACCTCTCCCCGCGCCTGCTTGACCTCGTCGAGCGCAAGTACGGCGAGTTCTCGTCCGCCGCATCGATGACCGCCCACGCTGACGACCGCTTCGTGGGCGCGTGTGTTGCTGTGGAGTAGTGTATGTACATTGCGGATCCACCCATATAACTGTACCCTAGTGCTTTAGTATGGCAGATCACAGTGTTACCTCGCGGCAAGGTGTGCTGCGATTCGTGAGCTATGTATTCTATTACAATAAATCAGTTGGGAGCTTTGGAATTCTAGGCCACTGTATATAGTACTGAAAGAAGGAAATTGCAGCCAGACTGGGACAAGACAGTCCGAAAATTTTGCTGACATTCTGACGAACCTGAGGTACTCTGAGTGTCTGGAGGTGTCTGATCCTCTGAAGGGTCTCTGTCAGCCAGTCAGATGCTCAGAAATTGCCCAATTTGCTGATGCGGTCTGCGACGGTCTGATGACGGTCGCGGACCGTCTAGTATCTCGACGCCTACATCGGACGGTACTGCTTGCAAAGGCTCGCTGGCGCAGCCCCAGGCGGTTCAGATGGGTGTTCCTAATCTTCGGCGCAAACGACGCTGAGAAGGGTCGTGGACAGTAATGGTGGCCACAAGAGTCTAACCGCCTTGATATGGCGCGCCGCCCGAAGTCGGATCTCTTACGACGATGTGGTACGTACTGCTGTTTGGATTGTGGTTTACGATGCCTGATGTGTTGTTTCAGGATACCCTCTCATGTCCATGCCCGAGAAAATCGCCTCGAAGCTGGGGCCTGAACGTCTCAACCTCGGCGGACAGCGATCCTGCCCGTGCGGCGTGCCCGTCGCCCGCCCGTTCAGTGTGTCCGTCGTCTCAATGCACGTCGGCGCTCGCGCTTTTGAAGGCTCTTCTACTGGCATGCCGCATTGCCGCATGCATCACCAACAAGAACATTTGCAACCCGACGCTCTATCGCGCAGGCTGAAACGTTGAGGCCGAGAACTTCGGGATGCTGAGACTTGGCGGAGCTCGGAGGCCAGATATTTGCGAGTCTTCGGTTGAGCGGAAGGGCACGCCTTCCGCAAGACGACGCGCAAGCTAACGTTGAAGAAGACGGGCTGCGAGGGCCTGACGGTCTGGTCACAGACTGATCTGGAGGGTCGCGTTGGAGCTGTGTGCAAACAGCGACGACTGAAATGGAGGCCTCCGGCACTCGGCGCTCGAAACCGCCTGGAAAGCAGTGCGCCAGCCAGTCCGCGTCTTCACTGACGCTGCGCTGATCGACCGTGACGGTGCCAGCAGCACATGTACAGACAATCTGAAGAGATCCTTGGAGGTGCGCAGTGCTCTGGCTCATGTACATGTTGGATTTAATGTGACATACCCCAGGACGAGCCCTTAAGAAACTAGTCTAGGTTTATCGCGCCGCGATGGAAGAAATTAGAAGAGCTGGAGGGCGCGTGCAGAAAACGCGCTCGATGTCCTGAAAGGCAAGCATCGTTCATGGGCCGTACTGCCAACCCCTGCTCACTACATTAGAATCGGATCCAAAACTTCAATGACAAGGATCTCAGGCAGAACGAGCGCGCTCTCAAGATGACATCGACGAGAACACGAGCCTCATCGCGGAGCACATCATGCTCAGCGTGTTCATGGGTCTCCGGCCCTTCGTTGCTCTGGTGCTGCTCGCCATCATCTCTTAGCATCCGTACGGCAAACGTTGAGCTGACGTGCATGAATGCCGCAGGTGGGAGGGTGAGTATTGGCCGCGGCGTAGAGGGCCTTACCGCGCCCTTCCGCGACATGCGGATCCCGAGCCACGCGCCGACTCTACGATAGCCATCGACGAGAAGAGAGGCGGACCCGATCAGTCTCCTCAGTCACGACTCGTCTGTAGGGCGACCCCGTCTCTTCACGCAGATGCTCGCTCTGCCGACACATTTCCTCATCCTGGGCAAGCAAGCCTTCAGGAGGGACAACGCTAGCCATGGCGAGAAGACTGCCGCCCTTCCGATGCTCGACGGAGCTTCAGCCAAGCCCGACCAGCAGCAGAACAACACCCGGTGTCCTGAGCCAATATTGTTTGGCTCAAGGAACATGGTATATACCTCTATTTCCTTTCTATTGATATGACCTGTTACCAGACTACTCATTCACAGCACAGCCCCCTGCAGTGCATAGCCATGGTCATGTGAGACTAGTCTAGAAGGTCACGTGGGCTTTGAGATTGCAGTGTGACTGGTGGCATAGTCATGAGTACAGCATGAGCACAGCCACGCACAGCCTACGCACAGCCCCCGGACTGGTTAGGGCCTGCTGGGCAATCCACATGTTGTCTCAGAGTACAGCCTCCAGATGTATTTCAAATAGGATACAAGGCAGTGCTAGATACTGACTTGTGATTGGCTGACCCATGTCATATGGCAGTACAGGCTGTACCACATGAGTCGCTTTGAAGTACATAGCTGTGTTCATGACTAAGGATGAGTAAGGACTGACTAAGTAGTGTAATCTGTATGAGTAAAGCTGTTCCCCACATGTATATAAGGCCCCCAGTTTTCCATGGATGAGGAAGTCAAGTTCTCCCAGATTCTCAGTGTAGATCTTGTGAGCTGCTGCTCTGCAAGTTAGTAACATAAGCTAACAAGCGGCATCCTAGTGTGCAATATACTACAGTTCAGCTTAACAGTCTATTGTGTGACTTCAAGCCCCTGTTAGTGCCTCTAGTGATTCTTGATCGGTAAGCTGTTTACCTTAATCAGCAACTCTTGTAGTCACGTCTCAGTCACGCACGTCACTTGTATCCACGTATTCCAGTCCAGTGGGTAGGCTAGTGGTTAGTCTATCCATTCAGCACGTCACGTCACTTCAACGAGATCAGCCAAGTTATAGTGTGTAAAGGCAATTCAATTGCTGTGGTAAGTAAAAACAACTGTACTTGCTAACAAACTTTACAGTACTACCAACACTCAACCAACCCCCTCTACAACGAACAACTGTGATAGCCCGGTATTGCTCATACCCGGTGAACCGCAGCAGAAACACATTCTGACCTGACATCAGTGGAGCCCACCGCGAGGGGGAAAACCTATTGAGTGTTACCATTGCTGTGAACATTAACTAAGTACAGTTCATCGCCACAGCCAGTACTCAACTCATCAACCCTCTCCATTGGGGAACATATAGGCAATTACTGCTTATAGACCACACAATTCCCACGATCACCAGCACTGCAGCGACAATGGCGAACTTAACAGGTGTACCAGCATTGCCCATGCCTGGGAGCAAGAGCGCTCCCAAGAAGTTCAAAGGGAAGTATACTGAAGTGAAACTCTTTATCCAGCACTATGAACGTATCTGTGCCAAGCTTGGCATAGACTCAGCAAAGGAGCAAATTGAGAATCTGCCTCAATATTGCAACCGTCGAGTACAGAACTTCGTTGAGAGTCTACCATCATACCGTGCCGCGGTAGCGAACTGGGATACTTTCAAGGCTGATGTTCTCAAGTACTTTGATGCTGACCGAGATGATCGAAGGTACAAGGTGAAGCACCTTGAAGCGTATGTATTGAAAGCCAGGAAGAAGTCAATGATCAAGAGTCTAGGAACATGGCGAGAGTACACAAGGGACTTCCTAACTATCTCAGGATGGTTAAAGAACAAGGGTCGCATTTCATCTGATGATGAGGCTCTCTATTTCTGGAAAGGAATCCCTCGTGCTTTCCGCCAAGTTCTAGAGCCACGACTGTTGGCATCCCAGCCAACCTATGACTTATCAAAGCCATTCAGTATGAGCGACGTGAACCAGAAGGCCGAAGCATTGCTCCAGCGCAACTGCTTCGACAGTGATAGGCTCCCGTCAGATGACGAAGATGATTCTAACTCAGATTCTGATTCAGATGACAGTGATACTGACAGTTCCAGCAACTCAGATAGTGACACTGAAGAGGAATCCAAGAAGAAGACTACTTCTAAGAAGAAGCGTAAGCTTACTAAGAAGAAGCCTGCACATAAGGATCCTGACACAGATGAAGAGGATTCTACCGACCGCAAGAAGGTACAAGCCGCACAGCGAAAGGCAGCTCGAGAAGATGCAAAGAAGAATGGTGAAGTGGAGGATCTCATCCGTCAGATGAATCGAATGTCAATCAATGACCCAGAATACAAGATATTGTATTTTCGGGCTTGCACAATGAGCCCATTGGTTGCATCGATCCTCACACCGCCTGGACGACCTAGCATGAGTATGGCCAGCCAATCTATTGCTGGCACAGCTGGTAACGATAATAAGCCAAGTATGCCGCAAGGTGTTACTAGGCCACCGATGAAGTGTTACGGATGTGGTGGAAGCGGACATGGTATCGGAACTTGCCCAGAGATTAACACTCTCATTGCCCAAGGTGCTATTGCACGAGATGGGTCCAGGCGGCTCGTCATGAAAGACGGGTCGCGCATTTTCCGAAACATGGATGAACCATTCACCATAGCTATCCGGCGACAATCGACTCCGAGCTCTCACTTCATTATGACCGAGCCGAAGCAGTCATACTGCTCGCATGCTACGATCGAAGAGTATGATTCGGAGGACGAGCCGGTACAGGTACGGAACATTCAGACGGATGAAGGAGAGGATGGTTTCGCATTCAGAGCCGAGCGTACAGCTAAATCTACACGCGACGCACGTGAACGTGTAACTAGGAATCCTATCGTGCCACCAGTCACTGTACAGGAGAAGATTGGTAAGACTAAGCCAGCTAGTAGTGGACCAGACAAACGTGACGTACCTCCACATCTACCATCCGCATCACAGCCCGCGCCCGACGCAACGCGAACTTCCGCCCGACTACGCGGCGAGCAAGCTCCTCCGATCCCAGTGCATCGGGGGGACAGAGTCATGCAGCCGACGCAGCCGACTCAGCACGATCGCGTGGGTAGCGAGCCCCCACTCGCATGGAAGACCGCAAGGCCCATAGACGTAGCGGCCCGGCAGTTCGATGCAAGTGATGATGACGCTATCATGGAAGACGCGCCATCAGCACGATCGCCGGAGAAAGAGAACGAATCCACTGCACGTACCGAAAAGGAGAAGACAACTAAGCATGAACCTGTGAAGCGCATCCCGCGCCAGAATCAGGTACA